GGAAGTTGCGTTACGATGAGAGAAATACCTTATCAAAATGACAACAGTATATCGGAGCGTAAAATTCCAGCCAGCTGCTTGAATGTGGTCTAGGCACTTGCGAAGTAAGACAGGCATGGACCACTAAGTAGCCGTTGGACATCTTTAGAAATATATCCTAATATTCACATTCCTGCAACAGATCATGGCTTAAAAGCACCTTTTTGCCACTTTTTTGACAGGGATACTGCTGCAGCTGGTAAAATATCACCCATGGATATATCTGCTGCCCGATTTTCGATGACAGCATGAAAGTACACTATAGCTGTCCATCTCACCTCACATTTCTCCAGATTTGTTATTTAAGGGACGGAGGGCTTTAACTGAAGGCATGGGGCTCACGAAACCAGAGGGATTGGCATAGCTATCTTCGGCATTCCAGTACATCTTATTAGCAGCAACAGCATCGGATCTCACACCAGTTTTGGTGATGATGAAGTTCTTCATAAATGCATTTGCAGTTGGAGAAAAATCCAGTGACATATCGTTTTCTGTTGAAAAATGCTAGTGCTGACGACTATCTCCGGTTTGATCCTTTATCAGGCACAAACAGTCGTTTTAGCAACGAGCCTCTCTTTCGACTGCTCAAAGCAATCGAGGTTGGTGGTTTTTTTGCGAACTGCTACTTATCTTCTAACTCCGGGAAATGCATGTGTTATGAGTGTGTGATGTGACTGTGCGCAACCAATCGGACGAACGCATCGCTCATCTAGTCTTCTCGATAAGTGAGGACGGTTCGGTGATTTGTATCACGAACAAGTTGGAATTAACACTTATTTGCTAGAGTAATTAACAAACTTTCCGTTTCTCTAATTTGTCCATTTCTTCGTCCAAGTTTCGCTTTGCGGTGGTTTTTTTGAAATAACAAATCGCCGATAGCACTGAGAGCGAATATTTTTTTTATGAATAGGGAAGGGGTGAGGGGGCAAAGAAGGGAGGAAAGAAATTGAGTTATTTGAATAACGAAACACTTTTAAAGAATATTTCAGAATGCCAGAAAGTTGACATGTTTTTGTCGTACTTTGAAATTGTCATACTTATGATTCGCTGAGTATAGAATTAGGAATTTCCAGGTGTGCCGTGATGAATTCACTACGTTGCTGCTGTGTCGAATTTTGATGGGATTTATAACGCAGTGCGGCTCTTCGAGTCTGTTTTTATGCGTTTTCGCTGTCCAGCGCTATAGCAACGTTTTGTAGCGCAAAAACGTTTTGTCGAGAAGTCGTCTGTGTGTGTTCGGAAGCGAGTGAATTTTGTCACCCACTTTCATCTCAGCAACCAGGAAGGCTGGGGGGCTGAAATTTTGGGTGTATGTTCTTACCCCGTGTATCATCTTCCTATTTTAAAATTTTTGCTTATACGCCTAGACCCCGCGTGCGGGCCCCCGAAAAAAATATGCGGATTTCTTTGGCGGGAAACGATTTCGCGAACCAGGTAAGGTAGAAAGCTGAAACTTTGCAGGAATATTCTCTACGCATGTGCGAGCTGAAGATTTTAAATTCATCTGTCGCAAAATTTTTATTGAATCCCGACTCTGCTTGCCGGCCCTATTCTCTGCACGACTTCAAACCCATCCGAGTGGTCGTTTTTCCTCTCGCGGATATCATTCAGTAGGCGAAGACGATATTGCTAAGATTGTTATTTCATTGGTTTGAATAGTTTGTAGTGTTTTGGTGCTTTGTAA